GGGAGCTTAAGACTGTTGGCTTCACAGTAAAGGCATTGGTGTATGATCAAGGGGCTCCAAACGTAAGCTTGGCCAACCAACTTGGTGTGTCTCTGGGTAAGCCATTTTTTGAATTTGACAACGAATATGTTTGCTTTGTCTTTGATGTTCCGCACCTCATCAAAGCAACCAGGAACAATCTCTAAGCACACAAATTTTGCATCAAAATGAGGTCATTGAGTTGTCCCATATTGTTTAACTTTATTGTTCTACCCATGAAATGAGATTGCGAATGGCTCCGAAACTTACTGAGAGACACATTTTTCAAGACCATTTCAGTAACATGAAGTAAAGCGTGGCCCACAGCTAATGAGTGCCTCAGTCTGTCTTGCAATCCTATCCCTTGTTTATGAAAGGAGCTTCCTTGAGGCAGCCATGGCTACAGCCTATGTCTGGGATAGGATGGACAGACTTGCTAGATAGCTCAGAAATCAAGAAGACGGGGCAGAAGTTGCGTCCTACCATTCTGAAAGGAGAATCTGAAGCACTCGATTTCCTTCACCTGCAACTCGGATGGATTTCGGCGTGGAAGTTCCAAAGTAGGAGGCAGCCACAAACCATCATGGGGTGGCAACGTGTCCTCATGCTCTGGGAGGAGCTTTCCAACTGTCGTGTGTCTCGCGGCACGATGAAGGAAGTGACAGCCAACCAAGCAGTTCCCAGCAGAACAACCCCCAGCCTTTATTCCGCGCGCGTATATATCGCCAACCGCCGTATCACTGATAAGCGGAGAGCGAGGCGAGTCACGTACGCAGGTCAGATAGTGATTGACAGTCAGTGATGGTACAGCAATATTATGATGATGCGGTCAGTATGACACCACATTTCCCCTTTTTTTTTAATGCAACAGTGTAACTATATTGCCCCCAAAAAACAAACAGTGGAACACCTAAAACAAACTTAGTGATGCTAGCTACACCCATAAAATTGCGGCCTTTTCACGGGTCGACCAAAACGCGTGACGTACGTCCCCTGTGTACCGCTCTCTTCTTGAGCTGCTGAGTCAGAATTGAGCGCGGAAGGCTCTGTCAAATTCGCCTCGTTTTCTGACTCTCCATTTTCCCCTTCCCCGGAATCCTGCGGAAATTCATAGAGGGAACCGCTTGTGATGGAACCGCTTGTTTCGTGTGCTGGTTCCTTATATAGTACCAGGCCTCGCCGGTTCCTCTCTAGCTCTGCTCCTGTTTCTGTTTGCACCATATAAGACCTTGGCCGGGAGGCTGGTCTCAAAACCGTAGCCCGGGCTCGACAGTCCTTCAACCACACCTGGTCTCCAGGTAGCAACCGTGGAAGTGGCCTGGCCGCATGGCGGTGGTCGTAGTCGCGCCTTTGTTTGTCACGGAACGCCTCATCCTTCCTTCTGAGGCTCGCAAGGCCTCTTGCGGTGCACGGCGTCAACTCTTTAGGGTGCACAGGTAGCGTAGAGCGCAGGCGTCTGCCCATGAGCAATTCCGATGGGCTTTTTCCGAGAGGGCCTGGGGTGCTTCTGTAAGCCAGAAGTGCCAAGTATGGATCCGCCGATTTCTCTAGCAGCCTTTTCACTGTCTTAACTGTGCGTTCCGCTTCTCCGTTAGATTGCGGGTACCGAGGGCTTGACGTCACGTAACAGAACTGGTAGCTTTCTGAGAAAGCCTTGAATTCTGTAGATATAAATTGACTACCATTATCAGTTACAATAAGCTCTGGAATACCATGTCTGGCAAAAAAACTTTTCAATTGCACAATGACAGCGGCAGACGTCGTTGACGACAGTAGCGCGAGCTCAGGGAGACGTGAAAAATAGTCAACCACAACGAGGTACGCTTTCCCCCTAAAATGAAAAAGGTCTGCACCTAGCTTTTGCCATGGCAGAGCGGGGGTTTCTGAGGGCAGCATCGGTTCCACTCTTTGAACACGGAGCTTTGCACATTGCAGGCAGTTGTTCACCAGAGACGCCAGCTCCGAGCTGAGACCGGGCCACCAAACCGACTCGCGAGCTCTAGCGCGACATTTGACAATACCTTGATGACCTTCATGCAATGAAGCCACAACTTCCTTTCTGAGTTTTTGAGGAATCACAAGGCGAGACTTATACATTAGCACGCCATCACAAATCGTAAGGTTCGCTCTTTCTGACCAATAAGGCCTTAACCAACCGCTCACAACTGTGAAGCGTGGCCAACCATTGCGACAGTAAAGCAAAAGTTGTTGGCGTGAGGTGTCCTGCTCTTGTGCCAACCTTATTTTGTCGAGGTGCGCCGACAGTCTCAATTCACTGACGCAGCCGGCTACAAAACTAGAAACGTCCTCAGATGACAGTTCCCCCAAAACAAAATCGGTTTCTTTGCGGGGCGCCCGAGAGAGGGTGTCCGCAGTAACAATCTGCTTTCCGGCTACGTAACAGATTGAGAAGGAAAAACGCATGAGCCTTAAAGGGGTCCTCCGGAGCATTCTGCGATCGTCTGTTTATGTTTTTATATTGCGTAGTAGGTGCAAGTTAATATCTATACAAAGTTTTAGATTACAAAACCGTTTATTAAGCAGATGGCAGAAAAAATATATCGGGACTATTTTCTCTTGGAAGACAATACCCCATTCCCTGCCCATCGCTAAAACTTGACCAATGGAAATGCTGCGTCTCGCTGTGAATGCGAACGTTATTATTCCAACACTTTTTAAGCTCGTTGTAAATTAGAGTTTGAGAAAAACGTAAACTGATTGTGGTGCGGGAAACATAGTCCGCAATTATCGCTCCAAAACCAGCGAACTATGTTTTCTCCCCGCAAGCTTGTTGCTAGGGGGTGATGCGTCGGCGCGTCGGCTCGTCTGCTTCCCGGGGCGTCTGCAGGCGTGCGTTTGCGGGACACATGTTCCTTCTTCCCGTGGATCCCGACTCCGAAGCCAGCTTTGCGATCCTTCCACGTCAACGAGTCAAACTTTTTCTGGTGATCTGTGGGATGCGACTGCGTATTTTAGTAGCAGCGCGACGGTGCGGTGCGACGAATGACGACTGCCGAGCACGAAGTCCGAGTTCCTTGACGACGGTCCGCGCGTGTTCGAGAGATTCCTCCGCGGGTCGGCGGTCGGCGGCGTTGGTGACGCGCAGTGACGCCGGGATCCTTCGCTTGCTATTGGCTGACGCGTAAAGAGATGCCCCTCCCGTTTTCCGGGGTCATCTCAGAAAGGGGGGCGTGCCGGGGATTTTGATAGCAATTTTAGTAGGGAAATCCGCCGCGCATGATCGTAATTTTATGATTTTTAGTATCTCTAGGGCCTGTTTCCGCCATAAATAGACCATCGCAGAACGCTCCGGAGGGCCCCTTTAAGCGAAATCTTTGTACTCTCGGCGGAAGCACATCTACCGGCGATTTCCCAAGAAGCGTCACCAGAGGCTTGTGATCAGTTTCAAACTGAAAGTCCAGACCCTTCAAATAACATTCCAACCGTTCTGCTGCCCACGTCAACGCCAGCGCTTCTTTTTCTATTTGAGCATACCGCTGCTCGGTTTGCGTTAAAGAACGAGAAAGATATACAACTGGCCGTCTTTGACCATCTGGCTGCACCTGCGCCAATACAGCGCCGATCCCACACGATGATGCATCGGCTGATACTACAGTGGGAAGCCTCGGATTAAATTTCGCAACACAATCGGCCGAAGAAATAACCTCCTTCAATGAATCGAAAGATTTTTGCTGCGACCCGCCCCAGCACCAATCTTTATCCTTCAACAGCAACTCCCGCAGTGGTGCAGATATTTCAGCGAGATTCGGCACAAACCTCGCCAAGTAATTAACCATGCCCAAAAATCTACGTATGTCTGCAACTGACGAAGGTATGGCCATTTCTGTTATGGCCTGTACCTTTCTGGGGTCTGGTCTGATACCCGAGTCGAAAACAACGTAGCCAAAAACGCCACTTCGCGAACCGCAAACGAGCACTTAGCCCGGTTAAGGGTGACGCCGGCAGTGCTCAACAGTTCGAGAACGGCGCGCAATCTGTCATCACGCTCAGTCTTTGTGGCTCCAAAAATTAAAATGTCGTCCATCATGTTTGCTACTCCCGGAAGCCCGTCCAAGACTTCGGCCATTCGCTTTTGAAAATGCTCTGGTGTCGAGCTGATTCCAAACGGTAATCGCCGGAAGCAATAGCGGCCATACGGGGTGATGAATGTTGTTAATGTCTGGCTTTCCCTTGGCAACTTTATCTGGTGAAGCCCAGAGTTAGCGTCCAGCTTCGAAAAATACATAGCTCCCGCCAACTGGCCCAAAGTATCGCCCACTGTTGGCAAGACAAAGCGTTCGCGCAGTACACTCTTATTCAGCTGCGTCAGGTCTACACAGAGGCGAACTTCGCCAGAGGGTTTCAGTACAGGCACTATGCCTGCACACCATTCTGTTGGACCATCTACCTTCCGTACCACCCCATTGGCTTCCATCTTAGATAACTCCGTTCTAACAGCCTCCTTTAATAATAATAATAATAATAATAATGACTTTATTTTCAGTGCCCAAAAACAACCACAGCGGTCTTCACTTTGGTGCACCTGTTCAATCCTAGAAAGGAATAGGAATGCGCCTGGGCGTGAAAATAGCGAAAGGTATCGGGTTGGCCTTCAACCGAATGATGTACTCGCCAGACAATGCCCCAAGACCGGAGAAAAGCTGGGGTTACCTTTGCTCATAATTTTTATCTTCCAGCACATCTACAAATTTCACCACACCGAGCGCCTCTATGGCGGGAGGACCTAACAAAACTGCATGTGCCGATTCTACGACATACAGAGTCTGTCGTGTGGTTTTGCCCTTCCAAAAAATGTCAGATTCAAACGTGCCTTTCAAGCGAAGGCGCTCATTTCCTGCGCCAGTCAGCTGTGCCGACGAGGGCGTTAACTTAGGCGGTGCTCCTGGGAAGCTGGGCGGAACAACTGACACTTCTGCCCCAGAGTCTACTCTTGCGGAGACCGGCATGCCATTAATGGACACTTGAACAAACCTAGCTTTCGAAGCGCCAACTGATCCTACAAAATAGGTAGGTTGGTCCCATTCGAGCGAAGAAACGCCTACCTTCGGCTTCTCAACCTTGTTACGGCACACCGCAGCAAAATGTCCTCTGGCGTTGCAGTGGTGGCAACGCGCGGAGCGCGCCGGGCACTGAGTCCTGAGGTGGTTCGGACGTCCGCAATACGTGCAGAGCTGGTGGTGCTGCTCGGAGAGCCGCCACTGCTGCTGCTGCTGAAGTGAAGGCAGCCGACTCTGCATGTTGCCGGGTGCTCCAGTGCGTCCACTCCGCTGGCCCACGGCGTCGACTTCCCCCGAGGTCGCTGCATCTGAGTGAGGACGCAGCTCCTGCTGCTGGCGACGAACAGTCTCCTTGAGGCGGGCCTTGGCTAGTGCCGTCTCAAGAGTGAGGCTGGCATCCATTTGGAGGGTTTCGGATAACTTTGCATCGGCAAGTCCCACGACGAACCGGTCACGGATCATACGGTCTCTGAACTGTGCAAAGTCGCAGCGGTCAGCGAGCACATGGAGGTCGGTAACGAACTGGTCGACACTCTCCCCGCTCTCTTGCTTGCGACGATGGAAACAGGCACTTTCGTAAACCACGTTCTTTGTGGCTACGAAGTGGCCGTCGAACTTCTTCCTCACTGTATCGTAACTTTGAGACTGCGTTTCCGAGAGGCCAAACGTCTGGAACATTTTCCTGGCCTGCCTTCCCCAGGTATACAGAAGCGTCCGCACCTGGGCTTCCTCCGACCTCTCGTTGAGACCCACGGCGTAGCGGAAATCGTCGAATTCTTGAATCCACTCCGGCTATTCTGAAGTTCGGTCGAAGTTGAATTGTTTGGGCGGAGGAACTGCCAGAGGAGGGACCGCTGTAGGTACTTCCATCTTGCAAAGCGAGTGCAAGGCGAGGGCCGCCAAAACAACACGGGCGAGAAGCATCATCCCACTTCTGACACCATGTCGTGTGTCTCGCGGCACGATGAAGGAAGTGACAGCCAACCAAGTAGCTCCCAGCAGAACAACCCCCCAGCCTTTATTCCGCGCGCGTATATATCGCCAACCGCCGTATCATTGATAAGCGGAGAGCGAGGCGAGTCACGTACGCAGGTCAGATAGTGATTGACAGTCAGTGATGGTACAGCAATATTATGATGATGCGGTCAGGATGACACCACAAAACAGTGATGACTTTAGGTTCTTACGTACACAACGCCTGCAGGAAGACCAACTTAAGAACATTTTCACAACTTTGTGACAAATGCTGGGCTGCAATACAAACTCAAAGGTGTACCAGCTCACCTCAGGATTAAAACATATAGGGATAAAGAAACTGTTCAATCTGTCGAACAATAGAAACGTAGAGGATCACAAGACTGACCTTCTCGAGGAGTTGCCAATATTTTTGCATCATGAAAGTTCAATTGCAGACAATGTGGAATGTCTTCCAATTGATAACTTCCCGCCAGTAGAGCATATTTTTGAGCTGACATCAGACATCACGTCTAACATATTTCATGACTCGTCCGCTTTTTACGTTGGGAGCTATTTGATCAATCATTTCCTTGAACTGATAACCCACAGCTGTGGCTGTTCTCAGCTGCTGAGGGAAGAGTCTGACAGCTTGACCAGACCTCACCAATACTTTCTTATGCTTAAAGCATACGATGTGCCTGGGAAACTTCGGGAATCTTGTATACCATCCCAGGCTGTGTTTAATTTCATTCAGCAACTGGAAAAAAGCTTTCTTGCCGTAATAGACAGTGTGGCACAGGGGCGGATGCAGGAATTTCCTGAGGGGGGGGGGGGTCAGGTGTTGGTCAGCGTACCATAAGTTTAGGAACCCCCTCCCCTTATCCTTCGTTTTACGCCCTAAATTTTACACAAGCATAAATCAAGAGGGGGGTCAGGACATCCGGACCCCTCCTCTAAATTCTCCCCTGGTGTAGCACATGTTCGAGGAGTGTGTGCTGTCTTGTTTCACACACTTTCTGGTGTGGGTGGTTTTAGCTTTGCGCAGAGTGCCACAAATGGTTCTTAAAGTTGTTTTCCAGAATACGTTTGTGTTCGCACGCTCGACTTCTCAACTGGAACTTCGACAAAGCTTGATTGCACGCTTCAGGTCCTGTAAACCAACTAGACAAGTTTAACTGTAATAGTGTAATAACGGAGGTGGTTGCCCAGTCATAAACAGGAAGTGCTTATTAAATGAGCGTGTGCAGCCTGCTCTCCAAACATTTCTTTACCTTATTTCCAGCAAATGCGTATCACGGCCCTTTTGCAAAAGTATTTATCCTTTTTCTACAGCATTTTTATAGAAAATAGTGTATAGAGGCTATATATATTAGAAAGAAAATGTATCCACTTTTGTATCCCCCCTCCATAGTTTTTTAGCCGCTATTTTTTAAGGCATACTTCCTTTCTGATCAGAAGTATTTCGGGGAATGTTTAGGGACGTTGAATCTTGTCAGATTCGGAATGGAGTTCACATTTTATGGTAAGGGCTTGCTCGCAGCGTGTTTCAGGTTATGCATTTTAGTGTGTTTTATACAGCCGGGAATTCGGAATTTGTACTATCCGGTGTGTGCTTCGCACTTTTATTAAACTTTTATGACTGGTAATGATAGCGACGTCTTATCGATTTCTGCACTTACTTCCCGTGCTCGAGTCGGTGTGAAATCGAATGGATCATTCAGCATGCTACCTGTGGAAAGTGTTTGTTAACTTGGTTTCGTTAAAAATGTATTACGAAGTGTATGATAAGCCGACCTCCTTCCTATTCATTTACTTTTGTGAGTATTAGTAGCTGTTTTTTATAAAGCATACAGAGCATCTGGAGTAAATCACGTACATAGGAATCTGGCTTAATAAAATGTGCTGGAACCACTTGGGAGCCGAGGAGCTCCCGAGAGCCGAAAGACTAGCGACGCCAGAAGGAAAGAGAGGAGAAGACGAGTACCGGGAGAACCCAATCAGAAACACCGAAACCGAAACTTGACCGGAACCGGAACTAGATTATGCTTAATGCTACCCGCTAGGAGCGCTAGCTGTCACTCGAATATCCGGGCCGCTGGAGCCTATGGCAGTGTCCGCTCTTTACCGTGTGTATTTTACTCTATGAAGAGAATGCGTTGTGATCCTGCGTTTCTATTTTGCGCGTTTGGCCCTGTTCGATTGACTCTATCAGTTCGTAGCGTCGGTTGCGGGCGCACGTAAAGACTGGTTCACACATGCGTCGACGGCGTTGCATTGTGCAGCACAGCGCCATCTCCATTGGCTCGTCGTAAGGGTCGCCATAGCAACATCTGCAAGTGGTTGCAGTCGCACTCCGCGCAACTGAGTGAAAGAGACTTAAAAAAGCACTGGCAAGTCAAAATCATTTTTTATTATTCGAAACGACTAATCATATTAATAATAATAATACATTTTATTCACATCATAAACATATTACATATGCAGGCCCGCAAAAGCCCTGGTGTGCTTGTATGGGGGACCTGGCGTCCAGCGGGCTGCTGCACTAAAATCCTCTTATTGTGTGCATTACTGGCACACAAGGAAAATAATCAGCAGACAAGGAGAAAAGAGACAAAACTCAGTGGAATGCTCAAGCAATAAAGCCAATCTACACTTCAAAATTCAAACACGAATCTTTTAGTTCATATTTTACTTGTTTCAGTGACTCCATGCTATAGTAAGTTTTTGGAAGCCGATCAAAATAAAATAGGACGTAATATGTCCGTGTTTTTTCCCTATAATGTGTATAAGGCTTCGGAATAACAAACCTTTCTATGTTCGTTCCTTTTCTAATGCGAATTTAAAGTTGCCCTTATAATAGTGCTTTACTAAAATAACATAGCAGTGCAGTTTTTCTATGGGTAACAACTTTAAGACCTTCATTTTCCAATCCATTTTCAACTCTGAGTAGGTAGTTCCATAAGTAATATTACTGGCAATTTTATGTAGTATTTTGTCATTTTTTATAATTAGAACGCACTTCATATAAAGAGATACTATATCGGAGAATAGACTCACCCAGTGCACCATACACCCTCCTTCTTAATGATATTGTCGCTACACTACGCATCCTGTACAAATAAACCGAGACAACACGTATTCTTTTGATGGGATATTCTACATGCTCATTGCACAGAAGATTTTGATCTAGATGTAATCCAAGATATTTAGTTGCTGTAACATAATCTAATGCTACACAACTGCAACGTGTGCAGTTCTGTGATTGGAGAAATAACGGAGTGCTAAGATGTAAATGTTTGTGCGGCTGCGAAAACACATTAGTTTTGTCTTACTGGAATTAACAAAGATGTGATTAGCAGAAAACCAGCTCATTATTATTTCAATATCTTTCAGAAAAATGGACAATGTACTTTGTTCATCACTGTGCACTTATACCGAGGCAACATCGTCTGCATACTGATACAATCGGGATGTACAAGATAGAGTTCCAATTTGGTTGTTCTGTTCTGTTTGTTTCTGTTTCTGTTTGTTGAGTTTTAATATAATCACGCGCATCGTTTTTTCAAGGCCTCGTTGTCAGGGTAAATAATAATCATGGTTTTAAGAACAATTGAAAGCGGTGCCTCGGGATTACCCTCAAAATTCTAAACTTGGGAATTCAGTATTTGTTAATAAAAAAAAAAAACAATTTCCAAATTCGGAATTTGAAGTTCCCGCGTGGTCTGCGCCATTGCAGTGACGTCGAATATTGAGCTGTCTTGCGAGTCGAGTTTCCTTCAAGTCTCCGCTCCGAATCGCCGTTGGCGCCGGGACCCGAAGCGTCGTTTCGCCGGCGTACCGGGAACAAACGGTTTCCTCCGTGCGTACCGTGCCGCCTATCGCTCCGAGCAGACGGCGCGTGACATTTTACCGGTTCTGCGTGAATGGCTGCCCCGGCGGTGTCACAACCGAAACTGTGGTGCCTGGATCGCGTCTTCGACGGGTGTGTTTAGCGTTCTATCGCGCCCATACATCAAAAGTGGTCCCAATGTGGCAACAAATGACGTCACAGAAGCCGGAGTGTCATGCTGTTGCCTGTCGCAATCCTGGCGGTTGGTCGCAGAAATGCTGGCGAAAAGCACGAGCGAACGCGAGTGTCGCTGTCGTCGCGGCGTCCCAGGCGTCCCAACTTCCGGCTGCTCTCGCTTCCGTGAAGTGTCACAGAGGAGAGCGACCTGCAGCACAACAGGCGCCTGCCATTTATACCACAACCGTTGAGACGCCGCCAGGGTCGCGACCGGCGACAGCAAGACACTTCTACTACAACGTCATCAGGCGGAAACTGAGGGACCACTTTTTGGGACCCGGTAAACACACCAGTCGGAGACGCGTTCCACGCACCATACCGAAACTACGATGCGCAGAAACCAAACCGGGTTGTTTTGACCTTTTGACGATTTCCTTATCGAAGTCTGAGAGGTCGTCGGGCACCTAAACAAGACAACATCGTCCGATTCCCCGACTCACCGATCGTCTTCCGCTACAGGCGTCGATCGCCGCCATGCTTTCCGAGCGAGGATAAAAAGCCAGGAGGCGACATCACTTCGGACTCCGATTTTCGGTATTTCAAAAATAAAGGCCGTAGTCCG